CAAACAAGTAAACAAGCAACTAACCTCCAGGTAAGCTGATTTACTTCTTAATTCAGTGATGACAGACATTTAGTTTGGGTCTGGGATTATTCAATATGCAATATTTGGTGTTAAAATGTACTCATACATTTTGTAAACATATATATATATATATATATTTATATGTGTGTGTGTGTGTGTGTGTGTGTGTGTGTGTGTGTATTCATGAATATCCAGTAGCTGTGTTAATGTCAAAATGCTATGTGACTTTTGTATTCTAATAGATATTGTCAAAGTACAAAGCTATAAAACTACACAAAAAATGGATTATACTTCAGGCATACTAATTTCAAATTCCAGGATGCATAGTATAAGCAAAGTATATAATATCTAGTTTTAAAAGTCAACTTCAGGAACTTCAGAAATGATTCAGTAGTTAAGAGAAATTGCTGCTTTTCTAGAGGACCAAGGTTCTATTCTAAGCTCCCATGTGGTAGCTCACAGCCATCTGTAACTCTAGTTCCAGGGTCTCCAATACTTTCCTTTGGTCTCAAGCATGTGTGTGATGTACAGATACATATGCTGTCGAAATACAAATATGCATAAAAACATAAAATATTCTAAAAATCAATTTGAAATTCAGAGAAGCTTGGGGATCCTTTTAGAACTTATTCTTTGATTAAAACATGTTAAATCATATTAGTTTTTTTTAAAAGCCTCCTACGCTGTTGATTTACTTTGAAACAACTACTATCTAGTGTTTCTGAGAGTTGGGATTGTTTTAGTTCCTGTATGTTTACCACTCTAGTTGGTGGCATGAACCTGGGAGAGGCAGATTAAAGGCTCATGTAATAGCAAACTTTATTCAGAGCATCAGACAATTTATACTCTGAGGGTATAATCACATGAGTAAGGCATTCAGTCACAAGGACAAGCCACATTTGGCAAAAACATGCCTTTCCATATAGGCATATGAGTAACAATAGCTGAAATTAACTCACTCCTTTCCTCCTATCCGATACACCTGGGAAGATCATGAAAATGCATTCAGAGAACAGTTCAGTGTTTTAAAGAAACTGAGGTCATAAGACTCTTGTTTTCTCACCAGTGCTCAGAATTCTCACACAACTCCATTTCTGGACTTTTTTCCAACACCTGTCTATTCCATTCCATCGCTGTTCAATTAGATTTACAGTAACTGGTACCGATGATTCAATATTTATACCTATTGTATTTCATAATTAATTTTAATTCATATTCTATAACATTAAGATTTTGGAAAAGACTTGTTTCAGCTAATACATTTCCTTTATCCTCTTATAAGCTAACTAATCCAGGCTGGGCATGGTGCCACATATCTGTAATCCCCATCATTTGGGAGGCAGAAGCAGGAGGATCACTACAACTTTGGGGCCAGAAGGTTTACAAAGCAAACTCCAGTCCTGGCAGCCCTACACAATGTGACCCTGCCTCAGATAAATCCAGAATTTTACTCAAATTACTAATGATTCATTGACATAAATGAGGTAAAGAGTATGTAACAGCTGATAATTAGCCAATGTCTCATCAGTAATTAACATATCTACTCTAATCAGCATTTAATTAGTATATTTATATTAATCAGATATAACCAAAACTAATGGCATCTTTATCTTATCAACCAATATGATGCCTGATATTAAGCAAACTTTCACAACATGTTAACAAAAGGCTCTCTACTCTTTATCAACATGGAATGTCTTTCTGCCATGTTAGAAACCTACCATCCCCTTATATGCTGAATAAATATTGATTGAACAGCCTTAGATACGCCTTTCCACTGAGTTCAGGGAATAACTTATTAGACATTTTCTCTCCAAATATACAGGCAGGGCTTTCCACATAGTAGTGATTCAATGAGTATTTGCTGAAAGAGTAAATCCTTCCCCACGTACACAAACTTCTCACTGAAGTAAACAAGTGGGTGTATCATCAACTGAACCAAGAAAAAACAGATGAAGAAGGCATGGAGGGATGTGGAATCCCATTTTGGGTATCTTAAACATTGTATACTTTCTAGGTTACAAAATACAGAGACCTATAAAAATTCAAATATGTAAATCTACTCTTTAAGGAAAGGTTTGATTGGCCTAATAAATTTTGGAGGCCATCAGCATATTAAAGATTGTTTTTAATTGTGGAATTTTAAAATAAATAATACAAATTCAAAGGATCCATAAAGGATATATAAATGTGATTAAGGGGATGTGTGTATATATAAACATATATATTATATATATATTTATATACTATGTATATAAAATATGCTGGTTGAGAGAAAGATTCAATAACTTAATTATACTACAGAATAAATCTCAAGTGTTTTAACATTTTATTTGAAAATTATCACATGACTTTTATGACATTTGTGAGTTATTCCTGAAAATTTTATGAAACGGGAGAAAATGAAAACAACCATTTTATTTACATATAAATACAGGTATATGTAGACGTGTGTGTATAAATGTATGTATACAAAAACACAATAGAATTTTACTGAGCAATAAAGAAGAATAAAACTATGTCATTTGCATAAAATGGATGCAATTGGATAATATCACACTAAGTGAGTTAATTCAGACTCAGAAGGACAAACATTACATGTGTTTTTTTTTTCATTTGGGAACTCTAAATTCTCTGTTGAGACATAAAATCATGTATGCATATAATATAGGAAAGTAGATGTGAAACTGTCTAGGGAAATTAAGGAGACCAATAGGACTTGGAAAGGAAATAAAGGAAGTCATAGAAAGCCCTGGGGTAATGGGGTCAAAGTACAATACACACTTATCTGAAAATATTCTTATGAGATACAACACCATGTACAATAGATATACTCTAATTGAGCAAAACAGCAAAGAAAGTGATATAGTATCAAAGTCAACCCTCTAAATATATACTTATACCTTTATTACTGTAAATCCTTACATCCTTCACCTCTCACCAGAGAAGTTTCTTAATGTAATGGGTGGTGCTTAATACAGAGACTCACAATGTGTCAAACTGAGGAGCATAAGTGACTGTGCTTGGCAATAACTGGGACATGCCCTCCCAGTGACTCAGGGGACATTGTAGAAAAAGTGGTTAGAAGATTCTAAGAGCCAGCAGTTGGAGAGGAATGTGGAAAAGCCATGTCTTCTGGACACTGCAGAACTAGGATACTCATAAACTCCCTGAAGGTGTGGTTGCCTTCATAAGCCCTTCATAAGACTGACTCAGTCAATACCCCAACATGTATGAGGTAGGTTCACCAAGCCCCACTCCTGACTGAGGAGCTTTTAGCAGGTGATGGCTACAGAGAGAGGAAAAGTCAATTTTCTTTGGTGATAGTTCATAGTAGGTTGTTCATGGTTCATAGGATGAAGTTACACCCATCCACACACATGCACTACACACAAGACTCAAGAGGAAAGGAAGAGAAAGAAGAGGGGGAGGAAATAATAATGTAGTTGGGAACAGGATATAGTAGGAGTCCAAGAGGAGTTGGAAATTGATTAGAGTGTGGTTATGATCTTAATACATTATATTCAAAGAAAATATCTAAGAATATTAATTTTAAGTCTTTTCCCCCTTAAAAGTGAGCAAAGGATATAGGCAAGTTACAAAATTAGAATGCTAACTACTCAGACCTGTGGGGAAAAGCACATTCTCCCCAATAATCAAGAAATAGACAGTTAGATCCAATAACATACTTAACAGTCTTTATACTAAAAAGAGACTCCATAAAGCCAAAGAATCAAGTGCTGGCCACCAGTCAGACACGAGAACCCATGTAAACAGCTGATGTTCATTCAATGGGTTCAACAACTTTAGAGACCTTGCTGCAAAATGGTTCTCCACAATGGCTCCTATAGAAAACTGATTATCAGTTGGAAGACCACTGCTGCTGGCTGGCTAGTCACGCCTTCTTTTTTGTTACTTGACATTAATTCCAAAGAAACAGACACCTTGACTCTTCCCTCAATAGTATTAGAAATGAAATTGTCAATAAGACAAATCAAGCATTTAACAAGTTTCCCTTTCACCGGTTGTGATCTCAATAGAAGTGCATATGCACAGCTTTTTCTGTTTTTTAGGTGTGCTTAATAATTAATATTTGCCTTACTATCGATTCTGATCCATGACGTCAAGGAAACTAGTGATCTAAAATAATTCCATAAAACTATGTTGTTCATTGGATTTTAAGAAACTACTGAACAGTAAATAGTTTGAACTAGTCATATCTTCTTTGGTTTCTTGGTTGGGTTGGTATTGGTTGGATTGTATTTGGACACTGTCTTTCCCTATAGCTCAGGCATGGTAACCTCACACTTCTGAACCTCATACACGGGAGTGTTGAAATTACAGGTCACCGCCACCACCAAGAACTACCATCTAAATTTCTAAAGCAACAACCCTTATCAAAATAAACACTTTACACGGTTTGTAATAGTAAAACCTTGCAGTGAGGTTTTCTGGAACGTCTATTAAAGGTTTATCAGCATCTTGTTTTACTGACAGAAAGAACTACTGATTTAAAATAAGCATCTATAAAATTTAATTTGTCTAATATCAAATTTTCTCATCTGTAAAATAAATGCCTTTCACTAAAAATACCCATTCATCTTATAATATCTTAAGATTTATAGTACAGAACTATTTTTTCCCTTAGAAATCTACAAAATAAGCCTGCTTTTCTTTGTTTCTTAAGTAGAGGTGAAAGGGATTTAGCAGCATGAGTCAGGTCTTAAGGTTAATTACCCGGATTGAATGTGCCCATTTTCAATGGTGCTTAGACAGCTGGAAGATGTTTAATGCAAACTTGTGTCAAATCTCACAGGATCATCTCAATTAGCTACAGGAGCTATTTCCTAAGTTAAGAATAGGCCCTGATCTGAGAACAACTTGCTACTCCCTGTTTATAACAAATATTCTAATATATCTCAATTAGGTATGAAGAATCAAGCATAACTGTATAGAAGACATTGACTTAGTTGCTCTACCTGTGGACACAGGGTTTCCAGGTGATTTGCGGCAATTCTGACGATTTTAATCCCATCTTCATTTGTTGACATGGAACAGGCAAGGTTTGCCACCTGTAATAAATTCAAAACAATGGCAATCAGTTCAGATCACTGAGGAAAAACAGAAATGTTTGCTGCCATGGAAAAGAAGAGCATGCACACATTTACCGAAAATGCAATGTCAAGCAACAGTTTTATAAATACCACTGATATCTCCTTCATAAAATCGTTCAGAGAAACTATTGAAATAAATAACAAAAGAGAGCCTCAGGGAGTCAACATAAAGAGGAAATGCTGGTGAATAAATCAGTAAGCCTTACATAGTTTCTTGTTATCAACATCTAACCCATAATAAGACATTCTTAGGGGACTGGGTAAAGTTTATCTATGGATTGCATGCTAATAGGTTCTTGGAATCTCCTTTGATTGTGGTTTATTTTAAGATTGTAATTGTTTTATTATTTCCCAGAGGTCTATTATGCACACTTAAGTTGCATTAAGCATAGCTGTATCTTATTCATGTTTTATTCAACATCAAATATGCTGCGATCCCAAGCTGGACAAACATTAGATAATTAAATATTATTTCCTGCTCTTGATTTTCTACTGTATCTTAATGAACACTATCTGACATTCTGGCAGCCAATTTAATTCAAGTATTAGTGACACCCAAATCTATTTTGTACCACTGCTTTTGAAACTTATGCACTCTTCCACTGAAATGGGTGTTCTTTTAAATAATTACCATAATAGCCATTACCTAATCTTGGAATTTTACAGATTCCTTATCTCATTATACAGCTTTGAGAAAGGGTGTGGAATTAGTTTCCCTTCCTTTGAACCCCAGTTTATCTAAAATTCTTCTTGCTAACATCATGGGAGTTTCTAAAGAAAAGCATTATTTTTCTTTTCTAAAACTTCAGTGAAGAGGGGAGGGGTGCACATGCACGCAGGAGAGCAAGTACCATAGTGTACATGTGGAAGTAAGAGGACAGCTTATGGCAGCTGGTTTTCTCTTTCCACCATGGGAATGTGGGGACAGCTCTCAGAGCTCCAGGTTTGATGCCTTTACTCTAAGCCATCTCAACTGGATGATGGAGTACTTTTTGATCTATAAAAAAAATTCACTGTCTCTGTCAATGCAAGGAAACACTTTTTACCACCTCAAAAAATGATTTCTTAGAGATTTTACAGATTGTCCACTAGTATACATATATATATATATATATATATATATATATATATATGTGTGTGTGTGTGTGTGTGTGTGTGACACACACACACACACACACACACACACACACACACACATGCTAACACCTTGTAGCTCTTGTGATAAAATACAAAATGAATTCAGAGTCAAGGATTGTAGGAATGGCAAATAAGCAGCAAGAATCTTTGGGCCACACTTTCAAGACTATGAATTGAAATTTGAATGGATATATGTCTTGCTTTTTCTGACATCTGGGAGTGGTGAAACACCTCCTGGTTTGCTCTTACATATGACAAAATAGCAGACATACATTATTTAGCTGTGGAGAGGCGTTGTTCAATTTATTAACGTACATGAAAATGGCTTACTTGAAAAGACCTTTTGTTGGCTTGAAGGTCACAATACCTCAGCTTTCATATCTGACACATAATTAGTGCATTCGTGAATTGTTTGAAAAGGGTAATGGTTTCTATGCCCCTATCCCACCTCCCAAACCTCATTCACTGATAGCAAAACTTTTGCAAATTTGAGCACTGATTAAAGTTAAAAATGTGAACATTTTGTAGAATTTTCTAGATAAATTAGAAGGGCGCTAATTAATCTGAAGCTTCAATTTACAGAAAATTGATGCTATGAAGACATTCTCTTCCTTCCTCCTTTTTTTTCCTGATGCTGAGGGCCAAAGGCAGGGTCTGGTGATTACTAGGCAAGTTCTCTACCACTGCCTGGCAGCCCTTCCTATCCCTCTCTCTGCCTAGCTATTGGTCATTCTAATATATTTAATTATGAAAAGATGTATTGCATTTGTTTCACCTTGCCTGAAACACATCTTTTCATAATTAAACACACATCTTTACATCATTAGACAAATGAAGCATAAACAAAAGTAACACACCTTTACACAGTTAAAATAATATTCTGTAGCACAAACAAATGTAACACACCTTTAAAAATAATATTTACAACAGTGGATAGTCTTGTCTGGACATTTGCGGGCCTTTATGCTATTAAACAAACAATTATATGGATGCATAACAAGGATCATTATCTCAAAATGCTTTATGTTTATATTAGTAGAGTTAACTTTTACAAGACTCTTCAATGACTATACTAAACAACTGGAAGTTGATTTATATTTAGTGTGTCTACTGAGATAAAGATTATGAGATCATTTTTATCTTCATTTGTTCACTGAATAGGTAGGTAGATAGATGATAGATAGATAGATAGATAGATAGATAGATAGATAGATAGATAGATAGATAGATAGAAAAATAGATCAATAGACAGACAGATCAATAGACAGACAGATGGGAATTATATATGAACATCATCCCTACTGTCCTATGTCAACTCAACTTTCTATGTAATCAAAAGTGTTTCTAAAACTATTAGGTTTTTGCATGAGTTTGTCAAACATGGTTAATTCATGGTAATATTCTATGACAAAGAAGAAAGGTTTGGTGGTAAAACTAAAATCTTTTTACAATTTGAATTTGAATGACTCAGAATATGTTTTCCAAAATCACATCAATGTGTGAATGAAAGCCAGATTTCTTCCAATAATAATTAGTTCCGTGTGCCTATTCAGGAAAACAAGCACAGTATAAATGTGACTCCCTGCTTGTCAGAGAAAACAGCATGCACATAAAATATCTTGTAAAAGTCGTCTGAGGTATTTTGACATCTGACATCCTTGTTTATCTAACTTTGACTGTGTTTCACAAATCAGAGTAAAGTTTCATTATCTGTCACATTCCCAAAGAAATTTTCTCTTCTCTAAGGAAAACTGGGGACTCCAGGTATTTCTTCTGAATACGGGAAAGATATTAAGTTCTCTGATTCTGTTTTGTTACCTATGAAAAACATGAGGGTACCTAACTCAGTAGGGTGCTAGGGCAATTAAATGAGACACTGCACAGAGAAGGTCTAATATCCAATTCTATTATAATATCTAATATCTCTGAGCATGTACGAATCCCCATCATTTTGTCTCTCAGCTACTGGGAGAAACAAAAGAACTTTCAAGCTCTCGGCAATGTTATAAATTTAAGCCTTAGGTGCTCAAAGAAATTTAATGAAATCCCTAACCCAAGAAAAGTACAAAAATCAAGCCATGGAGCCAGATGGAACTCACTTAGTGATGGGGTAGAATAGTGTGTAAGCCCTACCTAAAGTCAGAAGGACGCATTAAAGCAGGTTGAAAGGAAGGAAAAAGTCACCAGTGAGCCTGCACAGCAGTTGGTTGGCTCACTTTAGTTATCACGATTGTAACCTCTTATCTCATTGCTGTACTCTACTGTCCACACAGGAAAAATGAACAAGGCAGACACAGCTCACACAGACCAAAGGATGCAGCCTTTGAACCAGGTGTTCATGTGTGCTATTCACAGACACTTTTGTACTGAAATAACAGAGCTAAGAAAAGCAGAGTCCATGTTACCTAAAATAAACAACAACAACAACAAAAAAACTAAGATATTGGGTAAGATCACATATCCATTAAAGAGAAAAGGCTATGATAAAATACTCTTCTATACCAAAAAGGGATTAATTATATCATTAAAATAATTACAAAAATTCTATCCAATAATCTTCCAAAACACCTTCAGGCAGGGACATGTTGGCATGTCACTGAGAGCTGACTGAAGTTTTCTATCCGTATCCCTCTGTCTGGCCTCTCCACTTCTTAGCAGACCCTCTGATATCTATGATGTAGGTCACATTTGAAGCCCTATAGGCTTCTCTGATCTTACAATGCCATATGATCTAGAAGATCCGTGCATTCTACAAAAACATCAGTGCTGACATCAAAGCCTGGCCAGTCAATTCCTGATCTCAATGATCCTACTGATAGTCTTTTCACCCTAGCTCCCAGCTCAAGTTCTATGCACCAACTGGTGTGCTCTTATCATACTCGTTATTAGCTGGATATTGTATCTGTCCTAATAGTTGACAGTAAATATGGCAACCTTCACTACTTAACCACTGGTCCATCATGAGAAATTCCTGTCATGGAACCTTTTCTTCCAGAAGCCTATACCTGTGCTGGTTCTGCCCCTTCCAAACCAAGGACTGCCTCACCCATGTCAAGAAATAGAAATAGCTATACAACGGTATTTGGAAATCATAAATTTTCTCTGTGACCCCTAAATAAGTGTACTGTTCTACAGACTAACTTTGTGTTTGATAGTCACTATGCTGTAATATGGCAGAGAGTGTTTATCTTTAAAGTAATAGCAGAGAATGCCATGACTTAACATTCTGATATCATTTCACCTGAAGTCTCGCTATAGCCATCCTCAGACAACTGAAATGGAAGTGCTATGTGTCATCCATCATTCATTCTGTCACCAAGAATTTCCTGTACAAGTCTTTGCCTGTTCTACCCTTTTTCAAGAGCATGAGCTACATTTGGATGTTTGGTGAGATCTCCACTGTACCACACTCATTGAGGATCTATAATCCCCACAGCTAATTATAACATCTCATCACAGCACCATGGAGCCTAGCTCTCCATGGGGGAGAAAGGTCACTGTTTCATTTTCATGCATATCTTCCTCTGGCAGATGGTCATTTAACTCCTGTGTAAACACTTCTGGGGACAGAAAATTTAGTGTTGAACTAAATTCTATTCCCCTAGCACGACAGCCCAAAATTATGAAATTATGGCATTCTTTTTTATAAGGAAATGGAAGCTTCTCTCAATGAATGCCAAGTATCATAAATAATATAATGTTGGACTCATAAAAAAGTGTAGTAGCAATAATACTCAATTGGTGGGATAAGGGAAATAAAAATAATAGAATGAAAAGTAGATAGCTGTCCAAAAGTCTAGTTTATTTCTGCAAAGGTATCT